AGTCGTGTGAAACGGGCGTGTATACGCCGGCAGCCAAGTCGCAGGTGGTGCAGACGGCGTGGGTGGTCATCACGCTGCTGCATGCCAAGTACCCGCACACGGATCGCATCAAGAAGGCGGTGCGCGTCATCATGGATCGCCAGCTGCCCGATGGCTCGTGGGCGCAGGAGCAGATCGAAGGCATCTTCAACCGCAACTGTACGTATCTGGAAGGAGCCGAATCCGTCTCAAGTATTTGTTGAAGCTGACGTCCAAGTTTTCCTTGCGTGTTTGGGTGGAACTAGGTGCGATCTCGTATCCGAACTACAAGTTCAGTTTTACCATTTGGGCGCTTGGCAAGGCGGCGCGCGAGCTCGACTGGAACTGATCCGCTCGGTCGAGCAACCTGAACAATCTGCATCTCTCTTATCTAGCTTTGTGGCGAGTGTGTAGCATCATTCTGGTGCGGGTTGAGCATCGACGGTGCTTGACACTTGATCTTTGACGCTTTGCGCTCGAGCCTCGTCTTGCGCATCGATGGTGGTGGATGACTCGATCACATCGTCTGGTTGCGATGATGGGGTCTGGTTCGGGCTGACGGCGGGCACGTGTGGAATGCCGAGCTTCTCTTCGAGATCGTACCAGGGGTTGCCGACGAACGACTCGTGGAAGAAGCCGGGATGGGGCTGGCCAGGTGCAAGCTGAGTATCGGTGGTCGTGTTGTTCGGCGTGGCTGCTTGCCTGCCATCCCTATGCTGACCATTCCAACCTCCGCCTCTACCTCTGACTCCTCCGCGGCCGCCACGACCGCCGCGGCCACCGCCTCCTCCACCTCTAGGAGGCCTGTGACCACGAGACGGACCGCTCCAGCCTCTTGACCCGGACGATGACGAATTCGTGTCCATGAGCAGCTGCGTGTGTGCCGTCGTGTGCCGAACAGCGAACGAGTGGATGAAGGCTGCCACGGACGCGGTGCGCCACTCCGCTGCTTCTCAACGAGACCCTGCTGGGCAGCGCAGCCTAAAAAAAGTGGAGATTTTTTGGCGCACGAACCGACTTTCGTTTGGGCGCCTTTCTTCTCTCGAGCTGGTCTGGGCGCAGACGCATCGAATCGCCCGATAGGCAGAATCTGAAAAGGCGGTGACGGAGTGCCGATGGAACGTGCTTGCTAGCTCATGGCAACGCACCGTGCCTTCTCACCCTCACACCCTCAGCCCACCCCTCGCCATCGCCATCGCTTCTCTTCTCCAGCTCAGCCTCGTCCATCCTTGCGCTTCTGAATCAACCACAGAAGCCATGTCGTCCGGCTCGAATCGCAAGGGCCTGTTGCCCACCTCCCAGGATCCATCCAAAGCCCCCGCCAACCCGGCCAACAATCCACCGCCTCAAGTCCAGAGGCGATCGTCCCAGCCGCTTCCAGGCATCTCTGCCACCGCTTCTTCGCTCCGGAGCCGCCGCGCAGGATCCACCTCGGCAGGCTCGGCCTCGTCCAATCCCAAGCAGCTCGTCGAACTCGACGACAACGACTTTGACGACGAGACGCCCGGCGAGTTCGACCCCGGCATGCACCCGTCCTCCACCACCCACCGCTCCAACCGTGCCAACATTCCCGCCAACATCCTCAGAGCGGTGGTGCCCGGATCTTCACAAGCTCCGCAGAACAAGACCGGACACGCATCCAGCGGCAGTGCGCCCAAGAAACCCAGCCCGGCCGCTCCCCTCTCGCCCCCTCCCACCTCGTCGAATCGCTTCAAGGGAACCCCTGCCCGCTCAACACGCTACTCGCTTCCAGTGCGCACCGAGAAGCCCGTGCGAACAACCAAGACCTCGGGAAAGCACGTCGTGCTGCCCTCCGAATCGCAGCTCGCTCCACTCCCAGGCGACGAGGACGAAGATGATGACGACGATGATGACGACGATGACGACGACGACGAGTCGGGAGACGAAGAGGAGGTGACGGACGACGAGGATGATGCTCTTCCGGCACCCTCAGCAAAGCCTGGCGCAGCCGTCGCCCAGGATGGCAAAGCCGAGGCCCAGGCCGTGCTTCTCGGAGGCCGCGGTGTCGGCCGTGCGCTCGAGTCGGTCGGTGCATCCAAGCCACCGGCCAAGGTGCCTGTCACCACCCCGCGCCCCGGTCTGTCCATCCCGTCCAACCGTCACTCGGCCCCTGCGCCCGTCCCCGGCAAGCTCGTCACGCCCGCCTCCAAGGCCTCCCAGCGCACCGCTGCCTCCTCCGCCCTCGCGCGTGCCGCCGTCTCCTCCGTCTCGGCCGCCCAGGCGCGCCATGCTCAGAAGCACAAACCCAAGGCATCGTCCACCTTCCGTGGCGCTGCCATCCGCGCCCCGCCTCTGCGTCCGCACAAGTCGGGCCCCGTTTACCACACCTTTGAGCGCATGCCGCCCAGCGCACGCCTCATGACGCCGCTGCCGCGTCTCACCGCCTACAGCATCTCGACCTCCATCCACCTCGGCACGCTCCTCGGCTTCCTCCGCCGCGAGCACGGCGTCAAGCCTCGCCTGTACGACGAGTGCGCCTACGCCGTCTACACAAAGCCGCTCCTGCCCGGCTTTGGCCGCGCCAACGTCCGCTCCGCACCCGAACCGCGCAGCGCGAGCCCAGGCGCCGAGTCCAGGCGCGAGCGCGAACTCGAGCAGCGCGAAGAGTTCGGCTATCTCGGCACCTACTTTGAGCACCGCACCGAGGAGGAGGAGGACATCGACCAGGACGGCTACATCAAGGGCGGCGAGGGTCGCGGCTCGGACAGCGAGACTCGACGCCGCGGCGATTCGCACCGCAACGATGGGCGCGGCGGCGGAGAGACCTCGGCGTGGGAGAGCGAGGCGGAACGATGGAACCCGAACGAGCGTCGCAACAGCGGCGGCATGGATGAGCGCGAAACGCAGCAGTCTGGCAACGGCCAAGATGCCCACCACCACACGCGCAACAAGTCGAACGACAGCAACACGGCCCCCGTCAGTAGCAGTCTCGAAGACGACGAGAGGATGCTTGCTACACCGCTGGCGCGACCTGCTGCTGCGACGCGCAAGCTCTCGGACAGCGATGCCGAGGTGGGTGGGGAGGCGCGGCCGTTCCTTCTCGAGCGTCGGCGTGCGGGCAGCCAGTCGTCCGTATCGGACGTCGAGGCGCTGCCGCCGTACCGTCGCTCGGGCTCGCCCGTGGAGGTGGAGACGGACAAGAACGAGCTGGTGATCAACCACGTCGACTCGGCGGGCGCGCGCGACATGATGCTGCAGCAGCGTGCCGAGGAGCGCGGCGAGCCCGAGCCCATGGCGCACTCGTACCGCTCCAACGAGATGAGCATGACTTCCGACCTTGACGATGCGGCCAATCATTCGCGCGAGCACGCTGCAGCGCAGCACGATGGCACGCAGGACTCGCTCCCGTCACGCGACGGAGGCGGCGCCTCAGACCGCATCGAGGGCAACGGTGGCGACGAAGGCTCGCGCGGCGCGGGCGACGAGACCACGCTGTCCGTCGAGGCGCCGGCGGAGGAGCAGCGTCGGACGCGCAAAGTGAAGCTGCGCCGACGCAAGCGTCGCTACGCCGGGCCGAACATGGCGTCGCACAACCACGATACGTCGGCGAACCTCAACACGCCGCGCCCGATTCTGGAGGCGTTACAGTCTGCCGAGCTGGTGATTCTGCCGTACGGCGTTTTGGTGATGTACAACTTCTCGGCTGCCGAGGAGCGAAGCATCATTGAGGATGTGCTGTCGTCCGGATGTGCGCGCGAGCCGATGGACGAGGCGGCGCGCGAGAGCGAGGCGTTCCACTTCTGCTACGACCCCAACATCTCGGCGCCGCGCATCTTCAACGACTTTTTCACCTTCCGTGCGCCCAACCACCTGCTCAAGCTCAGTCTGGCGCACGCGATTGCGCAGTCGACCAAGCTGTCGGTCTTCGAGGAACGCATGCAGGCGACGCTCGAGCTCACCTCGCACATTCCCAAGGAGATGGCGTCGAGCGGCGAGCTCAAGCTCAAGCGCCGCGAAGCGCTACGTCTCACAGGCAGGCTGTTTAAGCTTCGGGTGGATGTCAACCTGACTTCGAATGTGCTGGATACGCCCGAGCTGTTTTGGTCCGAGGCATCGCTCAAGCTGCTCTACGACGCCATTCGCGACTACCTCGAGATCGACGAACGCGTCGAGAACCTCAACGAGCGTCTGGCCGTGGCGAATGACCTGCTGGAGATCATCCACGAGCACATCGCCAACACGGCCATGTCCAAGATCACGTGGATCGTCATCATCTTGATCATCGTCGCGTGCGCGGTGGCCGTGGGCGAGATCTCGGCGCGCTTCATCGTGGGCGCCAACCGCTCTGCCGAGGACGGCCTGCGCGCTCTCCGAGCCGTAGCAGCACCCGCGTTACCTCCTGCTACGTACTTTGCCCTGCCCGACTCGATGTGAGACAGTCGCATTCTGCACACACCTAATTCCAGCATTGCATTTCTTTATCACCTAGCAGCCTGTGTGTGGTAGACGCAGATGGTGTCGGCGGTACGAGTGTGTCGTCCGACCATGCGGGAATCGGGCAAATTTTTGTGGGGTCGGGCGTTGAAAAATGCGAGATCTCCACCCGAAAGAGAAAAATAGTGGCAACTGCTTCTTCTCACCTTCTACTATTGCCTTCATCCACCAACCCTCTCGGATCTGCACGGCCATCACAATGTCGGGAGCGTCTTCGCCCAGCGCCCCTGCTTCCGAGTGGAAGCATCCAGTGTACGGGCCTACCGACAAGTACACTCCGGGCATCGCACCTATCAAGCCCGAGTACATCCTGCCCAAGCCCCCCGCCGCCGCTGCTGCTGCTGCTGCCGTCAAGGCTGTGGACGACGATGCTGCCGAACGATCCACCAACCCCGCCACTGCTGACAATGGCGAGCCGGTGAAGAAGCTGAAGGGGGCGGCCCGCAAGCGCGCACGGCGCGAGGAAGCTGCTGCCTTGGCAGCTGCGCAGCGCGCGGACAAGAAGTCGCGCAGCGGTAACGACGACAAGAAGGGCGGCCAGAACAAGGGTCGCCAGTTCAGCTCGCTCAAGGACGCGCGTGGTCACTGCCATGCCTTTCTCTCCAAGGGCGAAGCCGGATGCACTTTCAAGACGGGCGGATGCAGGTTCTCGCACGACCTCGTGGCGTACCTTCGCGCCAAGGATCGCGATCTCTTCATGCCACCCATCCCGCACAATCAGCTCGACGCAATGTCCGACGAGCAGAAGCAGAAGTGGCTCGAGGAACAGTACTCACTAACCCTCCTCCCCACCGACGATGAGGAGGGTCAGACGTTCGTTCGTGCGTGCTCCTCGTCTTTCAATGCTCCGGCTGCTGCCGGCGCTGTAGTGTCGACCGACCCCGCCCACGCGAGCATCGACTGGACGACGTCGTGCCCGATCTTTGCGCTCAAGGGTTTCTGCACGATGGGGTGGAAGTGCCGCTTCCTCGGCGCGCACGTACGTCTCGTCGGCGCCTCGTCGCTTGCTGACGCTGCCAACCCCACCGGGTTCGCAGGCTCGGGGCTGGAACTGGTCACCGACGCCGAGCGCATGGCTGCCTGGCGTGCGCGCCCGCGTGCCTTTGCGTTGAAGGATGCAGATCCTGACCAGGACGAGGTGAACTTCGGCACGGGCGCAGGCATGAAGTCGCTGCGCACGCGCAAGTACCCCCTGCCCAAGACGCGCGCGGTGCTCAAGTACCTCGAGGACGAGGCGAAGCAGCTGGCCACGTCGGATCCGCAGGCCTCGACGGCGGGTAAGGGTGCCATTCCACACGAGGTGATTGCCAGCGCCATCGCAGGCAACAATGCAGCCACTTCGGCTGCCAAGGTTGCTGCCGACGCCGAGGGAAAGACGGCGGAAGAGCTCGAGGAGATGGAGAATGCGCTGCGCAACGCCTCCACGCGCCGAGCGGACGCAGCATCGTCATCGTCGGGCATCGACGTAGCGCGCATCCGACCAAGCGAAAAGCGCCGACTCAACTGGAAGGGCGAGCTGTACCTCGCGCCGCTGACCACCACGGGCAACCTGCCGTTCCGACGCATCTGCACGTCGTTCGGCTCGGACATCCACTGCGGCGAGATGGGCCTCGCCGAATCGTTCCTGCACGGCAACGCCTCCGAATGGTCTCTCGTGCGCCGCCACGCGTCGGAGCGCATCTTTGGCACGCAGCTGTGCGGGGGCAAACCGGACCTGCTCGTGCCCGTTGCCGAGGCGCTCAAAGCCGAGGTGGGGGACGGACTGGACTTTGTCGACATCAACTGCGGCTGTCCCATCGACCTGGTCTACAACCGCGGCGCGGGATCGGCACTGTTGGACCACGCGAGTAAGCTTAGCAAGATCGTGCGCGGTATGAATGCGGTGTTGGGCGATACGGCGCTGACGATCAAGCTGCGCACGGGCACGACGGCCAAGCAAACCACACACAAGCTCTTTGCGCGCCTGCAAACCGACTGGGGCGTTTCAGCCGCTACGCTGCACGGACGTAGCCGCAAGCAGCGCTACAAGAACGATGCCGACTGGGGCTACATCGCCACGTGCGCCAGCACCCTGCGCAACAGCGTGCGCGAGTGGAACGAATCGTCTCGCCACGCCGACGAGCCCGAAATGGTGCCCATCCCCATCTACGGCAATGGTGACGTCTACTCGTGGCAGGACTACTACGAGCGTCTTGACCGCACGGGGGTTGACGGCGAGATGATCGCGCGCGGTGCGCTGATCAAGCCGTGGCTCTTTACCGAGATCAAGGAGCGTCGCGACTGGGACATCTCCTCTCGCGAGCGGCTGGACATGATCCGCGACTTTGCGCATTACGGGTTGGAGCACTGGGGCAGCGATACGCACGGCGTCAACACGACGCGGCGGTTCATGTGCGAGATGATGAGCTTTACGCACCGGTACGTCCCCACGGGTTTGCTGGAGTTCCTGCCCAGCCGGCTGAACGATCGACCGCCCATGTTCAGGGGCAGGGACGAGTTGGAGACGCTGCTCGCCAGTGGCAAGGCCGACGACTGGGTCAAGGTGTCCGAGATGTTCCTCGGCAAGGCGCCCGACGAGTGGAGCTTTACGCCCAAGCACAAGAGCTCGAGCTATGCCGATGCGGATGCGGCCGAGCAGCAGGGCTAGATGCGCAGCGCAATTCCAATCCCTCATCGCACAGACCTTCTGTGAATGCGCACATGTCGACGACGCCCATTGATGCAGCTGAGACCCAAGCCCATCCAAGCCAAACATGAATGTTTCGGCGTCGTATCTTTTGAGCGGCGTGCCAGTAGGGGCGGCATGGTGGAATGGAATATTTTGCTCCAAGATGTTAAGTTTTGACGATCGCAGCCGCCCCCTGTTGAAGCGGGATTTCGCTCGACGGAGGCGCGTGTGAGCAGAGATGCACCGACCACCTTCGTCGCACCTCTTTCTCCTTTCCACCATACCTTGGTCCCCACGCATCCAATCCGTAACATCATGGTGTCGACATTAGCACTCGCGTCCGGCTCTGGCCTTACGACACTCTCGGCCATTGGCCTGTACATGCTTCTGACAGGTGCGTTTCCCCTCCCCCCACATCCCAACATGTTTTCTAGGCCAACACTGACATTTTTTTTTGGTGGTACGCGCGGGTTATAGGCAATGGGGAGGCGTTCAACATCGGGGCATTTCTCGAAGAGACTTCGCCATATGCATGGGCGATGATGGGTATCGGCCTATGCATTGGCCTCTCGGTCATCGGTGCAGGCTGGGGCATCTTTATCACTGGTGCCAGCATCCTAGGTGCCGGAGTTCGGGCTCCGCGAATCACCACCAAGAACCTCGTCTCGTAAGTTCATCCTTGCTCTACCCACACTCTGTACTTATGCTGACACATTTGATAACGGGCAGGATTATCTTTTGCGAGGTGGTGGCGATTTACGGCGTCATCATGGCTATCGTATTCAGCGCCAAGATCACGGGCAATCTCCAGGGCGGCACGGACGGTCTGTGGAGTCCGAACAACTACCTTACGGGTCATGTGCTGTTTTGGGGCGGGCTGACCGTGGGTATGTGCAACCTGTGCTGCGGCGTCGCAGTCGGCATCACGGGCAGCAACGCGGCGGTGGCGGATGCCGCCGATCCACAGCTGTTTGTCAAGATCTTGATCGTCGAGGTGTTTTCGAGCATCTTGGGGCTCTTCGGGCTCATTGTCGGGCTCATCATGACCGGCAGCGCAGAGGAGTTCAAGTAGTGCCACCGAGACGTATCTCGATCCCCAGCAATCTCAGAACATTCTCACCTTGCCAAGCGCAAGCGCAAGTGTGGCTTTGTCGGCATCCAGTGAGCGTAGCGTCGGAAGCTAAACGAAGCTCCACTGCCAAGTCAGTCTGTTCCGGACGCAGCCATGCTGAGCGCTAGCTTCGTCCTTTCCAGACTGCGCCCACTCGAGCCCTGCTTAAGCCTGACACATTCTGTCGCACGTATCTCGCACTCGCAGCATCTTTCTTCGCACTTGAGTCTCGAAGCAAAGCAACGCACACACTCCCATCTCCAACTCGGGCGGAGACTGGTTCTATTGCGGCCCGAGCCATGTCGGGGCTAAGCTACTATACACATGCGATTTCGACGATAGAAGAGGGGGTAGGGGGGGTGTTTGCATTCAATGGCTGAGTTTGGCTTTGCCACGGAACCTCCTGCGCATGAGCGTCTTGCGTCCGTTCTTGGTCTTGTTGCGCGCGAGGAACCCGTGTCTGCGCTTGCGGATGCGCTGCGAGGGCTGGTACTCGGATCCGTACGTCACGCATCTTGTCTGTGCTGCCGACGCGGCTGCTGCGGGTGTTTGTGCCGCCACGAGCGCCAGCACGCTGGGTGAGGCGGTGAGTGGTGTTCGTGGTGCGAGTCTGGCCAGCAGTGGAGAGTATGTGGTTGTGTTTGCGCGCAAGGCAGGCGTGCGGATCGGTGCTGCGAGTGTGCGTGTGGTGGGAGCGACCGTGGGGAGGCGCACGAGTGCGCGAAACGGCGAGATGCGTGGCATGTCGAGCGTGCGCAGGCGAGGCGATATGGTGGTGAGAAGGCCAAGTGAGCATGGTGCGGATCGAAAATCTTGCGAGCCCACCTGCCTCTCTCACGTGACGAGGGCAATCTAACAGAATCTACATATTCGCACAATGCCAGAAGGCCAAAATGCTCCGTCCAAGTGGCCGGATCTTTTGGCTGCATGACTCGAAGAAGTCCACCTCCTGTCCACCACCATCTCCTCTTCGAATCATGTCGGCGTCTGGATCAGCAGAGCACGTTGCGCGCCAGGCGCGCGCGGCGTTCGAAGCCTCGTCGCACCTCCTCTCGTCGCCGTCCTCGTCCGCCTCTGCCGACTCGGTCCGCTCCTCAGCGCTGCTCTCGATTCGCACCGCGCTCGAGTCGAACCGCACGCGCATCGCCGAGGCCAACGCACTGGACATGGAAGCGGCCACTGCGCTCGTCGCCGCCGGCAAGCTCTCGTCCGCCCTCGCCTCGCGCTTGGACCTGTTCAGCAAGCCTGGCAAGTGGGAATCCCTGCTCGCCGGAGTCTCGGACGTAGCTGCCCTGCCCTCGCCGCTGGACCATGTGCAGTGGGCCAAGCGACTTGCGGAAGCTACCGACACCAAGGGGGCTATCGACCTGTACCGTGTGACGTGCCCGATCGGCGTGCTGCTGTGCATCTTTGAGGCGCGCCCCGAGGTGGTGGTCAACATTGCGAGCCTGGCGATCAAGAGCGGCAATGCGGCCATCCTCAAGGGCGGCAAGGAGAGCAAGCACACGGCTGCCGTCCTGTCGAGCATCATCGCCGCCGCACTCAAAGAGGCAGGACTGCCGAGCGGGTTGATTCAGACCGTCGAGACGAGGGAGGATATTCAGAGCCTGCTGCACCTCGACGAGTATATCGACCTCGTCATTCCGCGCGGGAGCAACGAGCTGGTCAAGGCGATCCAGCGCGATGCAAGGATGCCGGTCATGGGCCATGCTGATGGATTGTGCATCGGGTATGTGCACGAGGATGCCGAGTTGGAGGCTACTGTCGGCACGGTGGTGGATAGTAAGACCGACTATCCTGCCGCGTGCAACGCTCTCGAAACGCTGCTCATCCACGACTCGCTCGTGCACACCTCCTTCTGGCCCACCCTAGCCAGCGCCTTACTCTCCGCCGGTGTCGAACTGCGCTGCGATGCAGCTACACTTTCTGCCCTCCCCTCCTCGGTCACGTCACGCTTCGAGGGCAAGATCAAGCCTGCAGTAGACGTCGACTACTCGACCGAGTTCCTGGACCTGATCCTTGCCGTCGCCAGCGTCCCATCGCTCGATGCCGCCCTGTCGCACATCACCACGCACAGCTCGGGCCACACGGACGTGCTCTTCACCTCGCCCCACTCGCCCAACGCCGCCGCAGCCAAGTTCACGCGCTCCATCAACTCGGCCAACGTCTTTGTCAACGTCTCGTCGCGCTTCGCAGACGGCTTCCGCTTCGGCCTCGGCACCGAAGTCGGCATCAGCACCGGCAAAACCCACGCAAGAGGCCCCGTAGGCCTAGACGGCCTCGTCATCTACAAGTACATCGCCAAATCCCAACCCCACCCCACAAACGGTCCCCAAACCGCCGCCGAATTCAATACCAACAGAAAATGGGCCCACACCGCCCTCCAACCCCACTATCCCTCCTTCTAATAAAAAAAGCCTTCCGCCCCCTGCCAATCATGAAAAGGTGCCAAACACAAACTCAACCCTCATCTCTAAACCGCACCGCACCGCACCGCGCAAAGTAACCATCCGAGACCAATCTACATTTCGAGAGAGAAACCAAAACACAAGAAAGGTGAAGCCCAAGCCTAGCCAAGGCCGTCCCACAGCTCCATGGCGATGCAAAGACACGACTGCTGGGACACCGCAATGGCGCGCGAGACGTGATGCCTGGCGCGCTCAGTCGACGTCCATCTCGCCGGGGCCGTCGGCCTTGTCAGCCTCGGCGTTCTTGTCCGCCTCGGCCTCCTTCTTGTCCTCCTTGGCCGGCGTGGGCGCCTGGGTCGTGTCGACGCGCGGCTTGATCTTGCTCATGCTGTTCGGGTATCGGAGTGGAAAGTGAGGAGAAGGAGGCAAGAGTGTCAGTCGGCATGTGCTTATGAAGAAAGGGGTTCAAGTGTCGCAGCGCGGACTGTGGCGACGCTGACGCTGATGCTCGGGTCTAGCGCGCGGCGGCGAGTCCGACGACGCCTCGCTGCTACGCGCACGGCTCGAACCCGACGACGGCGTTTCCGAGCGCGGATGCACGCGCGCATTGCCACTCGTCACACCACAGCCAGAGTCGGGCCCAAGTGGCCCAGCTTCAAAGTCGGACAGCTCCGACGGCAGTCGCAATCCTGCCGAGGCAGAGTCTGCCGAGCTGACGCAGCTTTCCTCGCCTTCGCTCGGCTCCTCCGCACCGGGATCGACCGACAGAGCAGGAGGATCCGTGCCCGTGCCGCTCGTCCCGCTACTGCTACTTGCGCGGCTGGTGCTCGTGGTCATGTCGGTCGACTTGGCCGCGCTGCTCGACGCCGCGCTCGAAACGGGGAGAGATCGCGAACTGTATACGTACATAGGGTGGCAGAAGTAGATCACCTCGTCCTTCTTCTTGAGCATGTCGGCCGAAACGATCTTGGGGTCGGCGTTCTTGGGCAGCTCCGACTGCTTGTACAGGCCGTCGTCGAGCCACTTGGCGACGGTGGCGCACTTTTCGATCACCTTCTGCTTGTCGTCCTCCGAGATGTGGCTGTACGCCTCGTCGCCGCCCTGCGCCATCTCCATGTACTTGTTGATGGCCTCGCGCAGCGCCGACGCCGCCCTGGGGCGCTCCTGGAACTCCTTCTCGCGGAACTGGATCGGGCCGCCGATCTTCTGCAGCGAGTCGATGCGCTCCACGTACGCCGACTTGGTCGCATCCTCGCCCTCGTCCGAGTAGAGCCACTCCTCCTGCGCGTTGAGCGCCGCCAGGTACTTCTCCTTCTCCTCGGCGGTAACGAAAAGCTTGTAGCGGTCGTCGAGCTTGGAGCGCTGGTCGTAGATCATCTCCTCGAGCGCGTTCTTGCGGTCCTCGGTGTCGATGACGAGCTTGTCGTTCGAGTAGAGCTGGCCCTCGACCTCCTTCATCTCGGACACCACGCTGGCGTCCTTGCCGCCGGTGAAGCCCGACACGATCGAAAGATCAGCCTTGCGCTGGAGCTTCTTGACCTTGCGCACCTCGGTCTTGGGCGCAGCAGCAGCGTCCTTGTCGCCGTCGGTGTCCATGGCGGCGGGGTCGGCGGCGACGGGCACCTCCTCCTCCTTCTCGACCTCCTCGACGGTGTAGGCCGACTCAAAGTTGAGCACGCCGTGCAGATTGAGGCGCGCCTTGACCTTGACGATCGAGTGGTCGCCCTCGGCGTTGGGGGTGACGCCCTTGATGGAGAACTTGCCGATCCAGGGGTTGATGCCCTCGGGGATCTGGTCCGGGGCGGCGTAGTGCGCCTCGAGGTCAAAGTTCTCCTTGCGGTAGAAGGTGAGGATCTTGGTGGAGGGGATGGGGTTGTTGGGCTGGAAGACGACCAGCTCGGTGTCCTCGTCGGGCACGTCGGCGGCCTTGTCCCAGGTGACCTTGATCGAGTAAGGGGTGGCGTCGTGGATGCTGAACTCGCGCACCTTGAAGACGGGCGAGAGGACGGCGCAGGCGAGCGTGCAGCCGCGGGCCACAGCCTCGTCCTGGTTCGAGGTGAACGAGAGCGGCTTGCCGAAGAAGGCCGAGATGCGCTCCTTGAGCGCAGGCACGCGCGACGAGCCGCCGACCATCTCGATCGAGTGGATCTGGTCCTTGGAGAGGCCGGACTGGGCGAGGGCGGCCTCGAGGGGCACGTTGATGCGCTCGAGGAGGGGCGAGATGAGCTGCTCAAACTCCTCGCGCTTGAGCTGGGAGCTGGCGTCGATGTCCTCCATGAGGTTCTCGACGTTCAAGGGGGCGAGGGCGTTGGCGGAGAGCACCTTCTTGAGGCGCTCGCAGCCGGCGGCGAGACGGAAGGTGGCCTTGGGGCTGGAGAGGACGTCAATCTTGTACTTGCCCTTGAACTCCTCGGCAAAGTGCTGGAGGAGGGCACGGTCGAAATCGCGACCGCCGAAGTTGCGGTCGGCGGCGGTGCCGAGGACGGTGAGCTGGCCCTTGCTGAACGAGACCACGGCGACCTGGTAGGACGAGTGGCCAATGTCGCAGAAGACGACGTTGCGCGGGTTGTCCGCCTCGGGGAGGTCGGTCTTGGTGATGCCGTAGCCGAGGGCGGTGGCGGTGGTGTCGTTGAGGAGGCGGAGGGGGTTGAGGCCGGCGATCTCGGCGGCATCGAGGTAGGCGCGTCGCTGAGCGTCGGTGAACCAGAGCGGGGTGGAGAGGACGACGTCGCTGACGCCAGCGCCGCCGAGCTCCTTGGAGGTGGTGTCGCGGAGCTTGACGAGGTACATGGCGAGGAGCTGGGTGGCGGAGAAGGTCTGTTCCTCACCTGCGAGGCGAACCTTGACGCCAACCTCGCCCTTTGCGTCGACGAGCTCTGCGTTGATGAAGTTCTTCTCGACCTTCTGGACCTCGGGGTCCTGGAAGGTGCGACCTACGAGACGCTTGAGCGAGCCGATGGTGTTCTTGAAGTTGGAGGTCTGTGCGGTGGCAGCGGCCTCGCCGAGCGCTCTCGCCTTCTGGCCGAAGGAGACGAGCGAAGGGGTGGCGCGGTTGGAGACCTCGTTGGCGATCACATCGACACCACGGGCACGCGCAACACCGATCTTGGACGAGGCATTGCCCACGTCGATACCGACGACGGACGACATGTTTTGTTTTGGGAAGAGTCGAGCTCTACGAAGACAGCGAGACGTAAAAAGTGGCGCTACGAATCAGAAAGCCGGGGCGGACGACGATGCAAGGGAAGAAATGACGATCCCGATCGAAGTTGGATGATGGGAAGAGGTGGTGAAGAGAGGAGGACGAGCGCGCGCGGATACGGCGCCAACCCAACACTAAATCTGGCTCGCTCCCACAAAAATGCACTTCCGCTGCTCAGCCCGACCTGCGAGTTCTCTCTCTCTCTCTCATCTCCAAGCGAATCTTCCAGATGGGACGCGTAGCCGTCAAATCAGCCTCTCCGACCGTCACACTGCTCTCAGTCACACCGCTTTTGCTGACTCTTTCTCAGGGCTTGTTCCGACTGTACGTGTGGCGGAAGCTCTCTACGGGTCGGCTCATCCGCTCACAGCGCCGTGTTGGCAATGTTGCAATGGCGCGAGCGAGCGGCTGAGCGTCGGTGCATTGATTGGAATAAATTTTCGCCCGGTGCCTCGCAGCACTGCAGTCGATTCTTCTCAAGCAACAGAGCGGCGACCGAGCTGCCAAAAGCGCGTTGCTGCGAAAAATTGTTCTTCTCGCTTCCGCCAAAAGCTTCGTGAAAATTCGCGAGGCTGCTCGTCCGCGCCACCTCACACGCACCGACAGCTGAGCACCCGAGCCGCCCGCCGTGTTGAGAGCCTTGCTGAGCCGCGTCCTCACTGCCTCTTCCGCCCACAACCACCCTCGTCTGCGCTCTCGCGTGGGCGATATCCACATGTCTTCTCCTGCTGCACGAGAGTGGTTGCAAAGCTCGATCCTGGGTCGCTTTGGTTAATGAATGCGCGGTTGGACGTGTGCATAGCCTGTAGTCGGACTGGATCGCCAGCCATCCAAACCGGCCGACAAAATACTCCCGCTGTTAGAACGCCCTATTCTTGATTTGACAACGTTAGACTGTATGCATCACACAATCAAGGCCGGCCATGTTAGACCCCATCGTGTCATTCCTCAAAGCAGAAAAACGTCCTGCGCAATTACCTCATTGGGCGGCGGTGGACGAGCTCTAAATCGGATCGCGTGGCCGTCACGATCCGATGCACCATCACTTAAGCTGGTGCGATCCCGTTGTGACAGATGCAGCCTCGACCACATACGCACCACTCGGGCGCTGTGAATCAGTGCAATGCTAACTGCTCTCTAACGGCTCGTCCGACCAGGTGAGAACGTAGCGCAGTGATGATGAGAAAGCTGCGACGGCACTTCCGGTATCGATGAGCGATGGGAATCATTGGCGTGGGAGAGAGGCTGGCAACAATCGGCTTGGATCCGAACCCATTGGCCAGCTGCTGAGAACGGCAAAGCGGCCTTACGACATTGGACCCTGAGCCGCGCCTCGCCATGCCCCCTCGTCATTGCCGTCATTCCTTCCAAGGGTCCACCATCGCAAGTTTCGCATCCCGATCCTCTTTGGCCTCCACCTCATCCACCCCTTCTCGTCATTCGTCCCCCTTCCGCTCGCTCGCTCACTCACTCACCACTCACGCCCTACTTGGTCGTCACTTTGGTGTCAGCTGGGTCATGGCTCCGTCCTCCACTACACCACTGGTTCCTCCTTCCCGCCTCACTGCCCAAACCTCGTATAAGCGCCCGAGGCCTTTCCCCCAGGCCTGCTTCTTCACCCTCATCATCCTCATCTCCTAACATCCTCATCGCATGCTCGTCCAGCCAGTAGCTGGGTAGCCACGCTCGTTTCAAGTCATCGTCTTTTGGGTTCTTTCTTTCTCGTCTCTCTGCCTCTCTCATCTCTCCTCCATCCCTTCCGGACCAAGTCTTGCTTCTGGTCTCATAGATCGCCCAACACCGCCCAGCATCACCTCTGGGATCACTTGGAAACGCATACAGCTAGAACCCTAAACATGACACGCAACGTGCTCATCGCGGTGCTTCGCAACGATCTCCGCCTCCACGACCACCCCATCTTCCACCTCTGCGCCGAGCCAACGCCCGCGTCCGCCGCATTCAAGAAGCCCGTCACCCACGTCCTCCCCGTCTACGTCTGGGACCAGCGCCATGTAGAGGTCTCGGGCTTCCCCAACCTCGAAAAGGCCGGCAAGCAGGGCGGCGGCAAGGGCAGCTCGCAGTTTGCCAAGACGCGCGAACTCGGCATCTGGCGCACGGGCATCCACCGCACAAAGTGAGTCCACCTCTTGCTCTTGATTCGCATCGTCTCGCCATCGTATTGACCGAACCTTCTATGTATGCTTCTTTCCTATCGGCCAGGTTCATCAACGAAAGTGTGTTTGACCTGCGCGATCGACTTCGTGCGGTGGGAAGCGACCTCGCCATGTTTGCCGGCACGCCCGAGAGCGTGGTGCCGTCGCTGATCAAGTCGATCCGCGACAAGGGCGACACGGTCGAGGCGGTCTACCTCGGCCGCGAGATCAACACCGAGGAGGTCAACGTGCAGCGCCGCCTCGACGCCATCCTCGCCGACCTCCAGTGTCCGTTCAAGCTGCTCGAGGGCAAGTCGCTCATCCACTCGCGCGACCTCAGCTTCCCCGTCAAACAGCTCCCGGACGTCTTCACCCACTTCCGCAAGCAGGTCGAGTCTCCGGACATGTTCCGCGAGCCCGTCCCCGCACCCGATAAGCTCAAGCCGTTCGCCGAGGTGCAGGTCGACGATGCGCCCGGCTGCTTCGGCCTCTCGTCCAAGAGCGCGCAGGGGCTCGACCGCAAGGAGACTGTGGAAAAGCACCTGGTGCAGCCTCTGCTCGACGAGCCCGTGTTGGGCCACAAGGAGCTGCTCTCCAAAGTCGCCTCGTCGCCAGCCACATTCGATGTGCCGCACTCGGCCTTCCCCTACCGCGGCGGCGAGACCGAGGCGCTCAAACGCCTCGAACACTACTTTGGCGGCGCAAAGTCGTCGCCCGCGGCGCACTACAAGGAGACGCGCAACGAGATGCTGGGTGCCGACTACAGCACCAAGTTTGCTGCGGCGCTCGCGCACGGTCTGCTCTCGCCGCGGCTGATCGCACAGCGCGCCACGGAGCTTGACGCCTCCACGGGCAACACCAAGGGTGGCGGCTACTGGATCCTGTTTGAGCTGCTTTGGCGCGACTACTTCTACTTTGTCGGCTGGAAATTTGGCTCGCACCTCTTTACGCTCGGCGGGATCGAGGAGGAGATTTCGCCGCGCTCGGCGCAGTCCAAGGCGTACGAGTGGAAGTCGACCGACTCGCTGTCGGACGGCAAAGACCCGTTTGTTCGGTGGGCGACCGCGCGCACGGGGGTGCCGCTGATTGACGCCAACATGGTCGAGCTCGTCCACACCGGCTTCATGTCGAACCGCGGTCGCCAGAACGTCGCGAGCTTCCTCACCAAGGACCTGGGCTGGAACTGGCGTCACGGCGCCGAGTTCTTCGAGAGCTGGTTGGTGGATTACGACACCAACTCCAACTGGGGCAACTGGCAGTACGTTGCGGGCGTCGGCAACGATCCGCGCAGCTCGCGCCAGTTCAACCCCATCAAGCAGGGCAAGGACTACGATGCCAAGGGCAAGTACGTGGCGACGTGGTTGCCGCAGCTCAAGTCGCTGCCCGAGCGCGTGCGCCACCACCCCTGGACTGCAGGCGCCGAGGTGGCAGACTACCCGGCGCGACCCATGATCGAGCAGCAGATGTGGAAGAAGCACTACTCGAACAACGGTGGTGGAGGTGGCGGTGGTGGTGGAGGCGGAAACCGCGGCGGCCATGGCGGAAACCGAAGGGGCGGCGGTGGCGGTCGCGGCCGTGGCTCGCACCGTGGCCGCCGCGGTGGTGGCCCGCAGGCTGCCTGATCACAAAGCACAAAGCATAGATGTCATAGAGCTCCAATTCGAATCCCTATCCCGAGACCACTTGTGCGCGGGTGGGATGGCGGTGCATGGCGACGTTTGCTGCTGCCGAGCCGCGGAGCGAGCTCCAAAGTGATTTCGCAAGAGGTTTTGGATGCGCCTGGTGAGGCTTGTTCTGGCGTGACAGTGCTCGCTTCCATCGGACTCGCATTCGAGGTGGGAATGCATGGCGACGCATCGTCGGGTCGGCTTAGAGCGCCACCAATCGGCACACACGCCTGGGAATAAAGTCCACTGCAAGCTGACCCAGTTGCTGGTGAGAACGGTATTGCACTGCGATATGCGCTCGTGTGCGGGATCCTCGCGTGATCGCTGTGTATCCACGCCAGACGCTGTTGCAACATTGGTCGAATCAACCCCCATTGGTCGTGCCAATCCAGCTCGCACACCATCATTCCAGTGTCGTTGTCTCGAACGCTTTCACCGTTGAATGCCATCAGCTTTTCGTGCGCTGCCACAGTACGCCTGGGTGTGGCCTTCACGCCGCATCTTGCGACACCTGCTGCTTCTGCAGGCCGAACCTGTCGGCTACCAACGCGACAATCTCGCTCCACTCGATCATGGCGCCCTTGCCGGTATCTCCACACGCGAGCCTCTTCTCGACCGGCCCCTTGACCTCGTACCCAAGCACCTCCTTGACCGTCCTAAGGTGCATGTCCGTGAGTGGGTTTTCCCACATGAGCGTATTCATGGCGGGGCACAAGACCACTTGGGCGCCCTTGCCCAAGGCGCGCATGAAGCTCGTGAGCAAATCATCGCACAGACCCCCCGCGAGCTTGGCGAGCGTGTTGGCGGAACACGGCGCGACAATCACCACGTCCGCCCATCGCCGTAGCTCAATATGCAAGATCGCATCGCCCACGCGTGAGAAGCTCGTCCACTCGTCCGCGTTGATCCAGAGATGCACGCGTGGTCCTGAAGTCTGCACTCCTCGACTCGCAGCCAGGTTCTCGGCAGCAAGCGAGGCAACGGTATAGTCCGAGGTGAGCGCGTTTCGGTCGTAGAAGTGCAGCGAGTTGTCGGTCGCAATCACCTGGACCCGTACGTTGGCGTGCGCAAGCAGCGCCTCGACGATGAGCGGGATCTTGACGCTCGCCACAGAGCCGGTACTGGCTAGAACAACGTGCAGAGGTCGATCGGGTGTAGGTGGCCGCGATAGGGCGGGGTAGGGAGAGCGAAGCGATGCAGGCACCGGTTTGGCCTCTTCGGGCGCGCGCGAGGTCATCCTACCCAGCTGCGAGGCGAGGTACGACGTGGTGCGCGCGTGCACCGGCTTGCTCGGCGGCGGAGGCCCCGGCAACTCGCGCGACACACTGCGTGGCGACAACCCCTCCTCCTTCTTGCCTCCATTCCCCAAGGACAGCGACGACGGAGACGACGATAAGCTCGATCCCCCCAGGCGGGTTGAAAGCGACGCCAGCCGGTCACCGATGCTGAGCTTGGCTGCTGCATCGTCGGTGGCAGGCATGTCTTTGACCTGCTCGTCGGCGCGCGCATAGTCAGTGGGCGTGCTCACCGCGCGCAAATTCGCAGGTCTCTGCGCATCACCAGCTGCGGCGCCCATCATCCTACTGAACGCCGCGAGGCTCGATCCCATGACGCCCGTGATGACCTTGTTGCTCGCGCCGGCCAGGTCGCCGATCTCCTGCGTCAGCCTGCCCCTTATCCGCGCAGGCATGGCCAGTGCCTCCTCCGGCCCCTGCACACTCGTCCTCCCCCGCGTACTCTCGCCCACGCGCAGATGCGCACCGATCTGGCTCGCGTCCAGCCCGAGATCCGCCACATCCACGTTCTCCAAAAACGCCACCGCGGCCTGCACGTTGACGAGGCAGTACGCTGTCTCGCCCTGCACCAGACACTCGGCGCGGAAGCGCTGGATGTACAGCAGGTGGCTCGCCAGCCGTGCCGGGTTCGACGCCACAATGCTGTAGATCAACAGCGGCAGGATGAGGTCTGCGCTCGTGCCCGCACCTGCCTCCGCGGGAAGGGCGGCTACACCGTCGACTGTGAGCTTGTGCGCGCGCACGAGCACATCCAGCTTGTCCTTGGGCGATCGCGCCTGCTCACTATCGAGCCGCTGCAGCTCTTCTCCACATTGCTTGACAATACGCTCGAGATCGTCGGTGTGCGCCGGGTCGTCGAGCCCAAGATGGCGCAGCGAGAGCCCGAGCACGTTGAGCGCGGCAATGCGCGAGGCGAGCGCGTCGTCGTGGTAGCCATCGCGCGAAGCAACTGGCCGGAAGATGCGATCGTACACCTCCTCGCACAGCACCGTCTCGACCGCCTCGAGCTGCCCCTCGGCCGTCGCGGCGTCTTGCGCGTGCAGCTGGTCACGCACACTGCTGAACAAGTCCTGTACGCTTTCCGACATCTCGTCCGCCTCGGCCAGATACGCCGCATTCGGCACAGGTGAGCTTGCGCGCGGCTTTGGCCCGGCCTGCGTTCGGTCCGAGCCGCCCGCTGCACCTTGTCCGTCGCCGAGCGTGGGCACGGGAGGCAGGAACGTCGCCGCAAAGCTCGCCACCACTAGGGCGATCGATTCGCCC